TCCTCCTCCTCCTCCTCCTCCTCCTCCTCCTCCTCCTCCTCCTCCTCCTCCTCTATCGATCGCATTATCGTATGTTTGTAATCGATCGATGTAACGATTATAAGCATACATTCTCCACGGTGATTCAAATACTCCATGGTTATTCTGAATGTGAAATATTGACCTGCAGTTCGAGATGACCATGCGTGATGACCGGAAGTGGTGTCTATTAGAGAGATGACCGCGTTTACACGACAATCCTTGTCCTCCTTCCCCTCCTTCCCCTCCTCCTCTCCTCTCCTCTCCTCCCTCTCCTCGCCCTCTCCCTTCCTCTCCTCTCCTCTCCTCTCCTCTCCTCTCCTCTCCTCTCCTCCTCTCCTCTCTCCCCTCCTCCTCCTCCTCCTCCTCCTCCTACTCCCTGCTCCTGCTCTGCTCTCCTCCTCCTCCCTCCTCCTCCTCCTCCTCTCCTCCCGCCTCCGCCTCCGCCTCCGCCTCCGCCTCCGCTCCGCGCCTCGTCCTCCTCCTTCTCCTCCTCTCCTCCTCTCTTCTCCTCTTCTCCCCTCCCCCTCCCCCTTCCCCTCCCCCTCCGCCCTCCGCCCTCCCCCCCCCTCCCCTCCTCCTCCTCCTCCTCCTCCTCCTCCTCCGCCTCCTCCTCCTCTCCCTTTTTCTCCTCCTCCTCCTCCTCCTCCTCCTCTCCTCCTCTTCTCCCGTTTCTCCTCCTCTCCTCCTCCTCCTCCTCCTCCTCCTCCTCCTCCTCCTCCTCCTCCTCCTCCTCCTCCCTCTCCCCTCCTCCCTCCCTCCTCCCCCCCCTCCCTCCTTCCTCCCTCCCCCCCCCTCCCGTCTTCCCTCCCGCCCCCCCCCTCCCTCCCTCCCTCCCTCCTCCTCCCTCCTCCCTCCTCACTCATCCTCCTCTCTCCTCCCTCTTCTCCTCCTCCTCCCTCCTCCCTGCGCTCTCTCCTCTCTTCTCCCTCCTCTCCCTCTCTCCTCCTCCCTCCTCCTCTCCTCCTCCTCCCTCCTCCTCCGCCCTCCGCCCTCCGCCCTCCGCCTCCAGCCGCCCGCCGCCGCGCGCCGCCCCCCCCGCCGCCCGCCGCCCGCCACCACCCGCCGCCCGCCGCCGCCGCTGCCCGCGGTCCGCCGCCCGCCGCCCACCTCCCTTCCTCCCTTCCTCCTCCCTCCTGCCTCCTGCCTCGTGCATCCTGCCTCCTGCCCTCTGCATCTTTCTCCTGCTCCTTCACCTCCGCCTCCGCCTCCGCCTCCGCCTCCGCCTCCGCATCAGCCTCCTCCTCCGCCTCCGCCTCCGCCTACGCGCACGCGTCCGCCTCCTCCTCCTCCTCCTCCTCCTCCTCCTCCTCCTCCTCCTCCTCCTCCTCCTCCTCCTCCTCCTCATCATCATCATCATCATCATCCATCATCATCATCATCATCATCATCATCATCATCATCATCATCATCCATCATCTCCTCCTCCTCCTCCCCCTCCCCCTCCCCCTCCCCCTCCCCCTCCTCATCCTCCTCCTAATCCTCCTCAGGGGACGCTCCTTCTGAGAATTGTTTTTTGTATTCGGGGAGGGCTTCGGGGAGGGCTTCGAAAACTGCTCAGAAGGCTGGGGGACTTCTGAATCTCTAAGAGGTTCGAAGGTACAGTCGACCCGTCTCAGAAGGATGCGCGGTGAGGATGCGAAGGCCTCGGAAGGCCATGCTGACTCTTTGCGAGCCGGACGCGGCCAGCGAAGGTCGCTGAGCGCTAAGGATGGGCCAAATGGGGCAAGGATGCAAGGGTACCCTTGGGAAGGTTGCCCCTCCTCATTATGCAGGCCGCCTCGAGCCTCTCGGCGGCTCCTCGTCGCCATGGCTGGATCTCCTTCCGGCGTCCGATAAGCACGTACTCCTGGAAAGGCATGGGGGCCGATCTCAACGCCTTTCCCTTCCCTCAGACATTCGGCGGATTGCTTTCTTCAATGCGGCAGGTTTTCTTGACCTCTGTCTGCGGATCGGACGGGCAAACCCGAAAGGGCAAGTCGGGGGGCACGACATTAAAGCGGGCGGGCGGGCTTGCAGACGAGGAACGAGCAATGGCATAAACATGCATGCTCGGAAGTCCGCGCGGATTCCTCGGATCTGCGCTGGAGCCCTCCTTGGCGCGCGTACCGCGCCAGGGGCGGTGCCGGAGGCGCCGCTGCGGAGCTCCAGCGCAGATCCGAAATCCGCGCGGATCTCCGGAAGTTTATGTTTATGCCATTGTGTGTTCCCCGATGCAGGCAAGCGAACGGGCGAGCCATTTGAGGCCTTAGTGTCCCAGGGATGAGCACCAACACCAACACGGGGGGCTGACTCCACTGGGGGAAGTTGATTCTGGATTTCAGTCGGGCGTGTCCCCCTACAGGCGGATTTTGGAAGAAAACTAAAAAGACCCTCCAAACATTCACCAACAAGATCAATTACCCCGCGACGTACCCAACCCTTTCTATACGTGCGACGATTACACTCAGGACCACTCAATGCTGACGGGCATGCTGCAAAACCCGCAGTGCGGAAGAAGAGCACCCAGCAGTGAAATCAGAAGAGCGCAGCAAGAAGAGCAGCGACAACGCATAAGACGTACCTCTGCTGGGTCTCCCAGGGGCTCACGAAAGTGGCGACAGTTTCGCATATCGCATCCCCCCAGGGCGCCGCGAGGTCTCGAGGTGGTCCGCGTGGGACGTACCTCCGCTGGGCCTCCCAGGAGCGCACGAGCGTGACGACAATTTCGCAGATCGCAGCCCCCCAGGGCGCCGCGAGGTCTCGAGGTGGTCCGCGTGGCACGTACCTCCGCTGCGACTCCCAGGAGCCCACGAAAGTGGCGACAGTTGCGCAGATCGCAGCCCCCCAGGGCGCCGCGAGGTCTCGAGGTGGTCCGCGTGGGACGAACCTCCGCTGGGCCTCCCAGGAGCCCACGAAAATGGCGACAGTTGCGCAGATCGCAGCCCCCCAAGGCGCCGCGAGCTCTCGTGATGGTCCGCGTGGCACGTACCTCCGCTATTCTCCCAGGATCCAACGAAAATGGCGACAATTGCGCAGATCGCAGCCCCCCAAGGCGCCGCGAGGTCTCGAGGTGATCCGTGTGGGACGTGCCTCCGCTGGGCCTCCCAGGAGCACACGAAAGTGGCGACATCGCAGATCGCAGCCCCCCAGGGCGCCGCGAGGTCTCGAGGTGGTCCGCGTGGGACGTACTTCCGCTGGGCCTCCCAGGAGCTCACGAAAGTGGCGAGAGTTGCGCAGATCGCAACCCCCCAGGGCGCCGCGAGGTCTCGAAGTGGTCCGCGTGGGACATACTTCCGC